GGGTTGGCATTTGTGTACGGTATGTAGGAGTTGACTGGTGCTGCCTCTCTGATGAAGTGATAAATCGTGTGGCACTACTTTTTTGCATTTGTGTCGATATGGGTAGCTGGTACATTTCTGGTCAAACAAGTCAACACCTCCCATTGAAGCATTGTAATTGCAGGCCACATTTGGCTTTTACACATCCCTAAATCCAGTCTCTGACTGCTTGGATCGAATTTGTTTTCGAGTGTAGCCATCATTATCAATTGTTAAGAGGAAGTTGACCCTTGTAGCCATGCCAGGAGCAGACAAGCATATCACCCTTTTTGTAATAAACAGGATCTTCACCTTTCTTCAGCTGTAACCTTGCTGGTCTAATTTCTTCTAGAAGTCCCCTTCTATTCAATCTCACAGTTCCACAGACACCAGTACCCTGTTCCTTGAGGGTTTCAAAGAGGTCAGGGCTGGAATAGAAGTTATCAACATATAAATAGTTGCCAAGGTCCAAGTATCCATTACTGCCCATCAGTTTCATAACAACATTATGACCCAAGCCTTGCTCTGGTACCACAGGGTTGTTGTCTCTACCAGTATAAACATCCCAGTCTAACATATAACCCTCTCACACAATGACCATAGTTTTATACCCCACATTGTGGATTTGTTTGGTATGTACTAACAAAAGTATATCTGTCTCTTGAACTTCCTCATTGATTCATCAATTGTAAGTTCACAACGTGGAATGTAATACTGCTTATACAGTGGCTTCATAATGTTCATGAGGGGAGCAATTTTATACAAAGGATCATATCCTTCCTCTTCCTGTGGAACCCTTTGAGAATTTTCACAAAAATGAAGGAATGAACTGATCATATGGTAACAATTGCGTGACAGTACATCTCGATAATCAGGGGACTGGGCTATACCAACAGTTGCCCAGTAGTTACTAATCCTTGGCTTGGAACACAATCCCATCATTATCTGCAAGCCAACATAGGCTTTGATTTCATCTGTAGTACAGTCAACCCAATCATTGTAGTAAGAATGTTCAGGGAGGTCTGCCGGATTATCAAAGAACTCCAGGGTGTAGGTGTAAGTCATCTCACCAATAAGCTCAAATGCTTCTTGAGGAAATAACAATGTAAAAATAATCTACAGGGTGGTTACCATCAGACAAAGGTGGAATCACAGGGCCAAGCCTTTTGGCATAAGCTGGGCACCAAATTGGAATATGATTGTCATAATCACCACCAATAACCGACTCATGATCAGCATCAGCCACACCCCCTTGGCTACCATCATCATCATCACTGTCCCCATGCACTATATCATGTGTATTATCATTACTTACAGCATTATCGGTATCTGTGTCACTGTTTTCCTAATCGTCATCAACAAATTCACTCAATTCTGAGTCTGAATCTCACATTATATCACCCAATACATCCTCTGTGCAAGCCATTGTTTTTGTTTAAGTTTACCTGTTGACACGGTTCCAGTCAGTGTCCTCAAATTGGGTCAAAAGTCAAGAATTTCACAAAAATAACACCCACAATCAAGGAAACTACACTAAACTACATTTTGGTTGCCTAGAAACTGTGCAGATGTGGCACGGTGTAAATTACTGACCAGTAAATGGAACTATGCCAGGAAATCGACTTAAGTTGCATTCAGCACTCCACCTGGAATTTGACTAAAGTCTCATACGGCAGTGAAAGGGTTAACACTTTAACTTATAGAGTATTCCTTAGAATTTAAACATTTCTAAGATGTTCTTGTTAAGGTATACACTATTATTCTATTAATCGTACAACTTGCAAAATTACTTGCATAATAGCAACATCTTTAACAAAAAAAATAGTTATAAGTTTTTGTTTGCAATTAATTACACCATGAGTATCAAAACCTGGTTTTTAACATTATAAGCTGACCACTGTGCCACTGAGGGACAAATAGTTATGAAGATATATTATTTTAAAACATTTATAAAACTGCTACTTTAAGTTTGGTCAGGTAAATTTAGAGCATATTTTTGACTGAATGCTAAAATAATAACATTACTAATCATAAATAAATTTATTCTAAATCAAACTTCAATCATGTAAACAAAACTAAAACAGTCGACAACATGGTTTGTTTTATTTTAAATTAATTAATTTGTGCATAGTAATGTTGTTATTTTTTCTTGTTTTATTTAAATGTACAAATCTCTTCCATATAATTAATATTATGGAATGTTTTTATAAATCATCCAAAGTACTGTGAAAGGTTGTATCAAAACTCTGAAAATTAGGTCCAAAATAACTTTCAGTTAGCATACATATATAATTAAACATTTCCTTTCATTGTATATTTAAGGGAATGGTGAATCAAAAAAGTTTTGGGTTTTTTAACATTATGTAGTTATTACAGTATTGTTTGTAAACTTTTCACACGTTTATCCTAAAGTTTCTAACTTTTAAAGTACATGAAGAAATTAAAAATCACTTGTAAGTCAATGTTATAATGAACAGTTTTTCTAAACAATGTATCTTATGGTTCTCTTGTTAAATATTTTGAAATATGTGGCTATTAATTGCAGATTAGAAATCCCAAGGGATAGGACTTTCACAATTTATTAGTCTGCATGTTTACAAACAAAAACACAATGTTTTATTGAGAAATGAATGGAAAAATCTTAAGTAATCCCAAGTAATACTGGCATATATAAAACAATATCACAGAAATGAAAAATCATGCTTCTGTAGCATTCAGCAAATACACTATTTTTCATTGCACATTTTTGGGCATAGCCATTAATTTGTTAAGAAATTAACTGAATGATTAGCAAACAGCTTTATGATGAGTAACAAACATATTTTACATTGTATTCATTTGGTAAATAAAACTCATTATAAATCAGTACTGTTTTATCAAGGTCTCATCTGTATCTTTAGAAAACAAATAAATAATTATGTAATAACCAGTTTAACCTAACTATTTCAACAGATCATAGAAATTAAAAATATGTCACTTTTCCATTTCTGTAGAAAAAGATATGCATAATATAAAAATAAGACCATTTCATCAAACATAACCCTAGCAATTTGGAAACATGTTTCTCCAAACACACATACACATGTACATTAATATTTACCTTAGATCTTGCATTAAGAGTGAGAATTTCCATATCTGGAGTAAACAACTGACACGAATAAGCAATGTTAACAGCAGTTTCCTGAGAACAAGAAACAGCATGCATTAAAATACATTCATGGTGCCAACAAAGCACCATATAGACTCTTTCAATAATCACTATCAGTAACCTTAGCAATTAGTAAACTACAGTTTACAGGACATGACTCCATGCTCTGTATTTGTAGTGGATACGAAATATATCATCAGCTTAATATCATTCTTAGGCATCTTTAAAAACTGAGTTTTTATTCTAAATTGACATTCTACAAATATTTTAGCTAAATTCCCATTTCTTTTATTTCATTCTCCTACATAGGCTATTACAAATTCAGAATCAATGTACCTGAAATCATGGTTTTTTTTTGTCCATTTATTAAACAGAATTGTTGTTAGATTAGTGGTACATTAACGCTAAATTATTATAATATTGCTTGCCTGGTCAGTAACTCTCCCAGAAAAATATCCTTTTAAAAAATTCTACTAGCCAATTACATAAAATAATAATCAAACAAAGAGTTCAGACATTTTTTCTCATTTTTAATTATGCACACAATCAGAAAGGGTATTTTGAAAATAAAATACTTATTTTAAAGTTCCTACTCTAACAGTTTTAAAAAGAGGAGGGAAAGAACTAAATTTGTAAGTATCATTTGCAAAGAATCACAAACACACACTTAAGTCATGTTTCACTTTTGATATGTGACCTTTGTTCAGCTTTTACCTTAAAACTACTAAACCCAAGATACACACTCTTTCAATGACAGATTTTGGCTAGATGTGTAGATGAGAACTTAAAATGCTTGCTACTGGTCTTAGTGTGTCCTTTAAAGCAGAAAAACTTGCATGCTGTGTTTCCAAGATGTGCCACTGAAATTTTGATACTTTTCAAAATTATTTGCATAATAACAGCTGCTAAGTAATAAAAAACCCTCAGTAACCCTTACTTAATATAATTTTCTCATTTTTCTAAATTGAATGATTAACCTAATTCATAATGTACCAATCTTAAATATGCAAAAAAGAATGTAAAATATAGCTTCCATTAAAAACTAAAACTCTGTTACCAGTACATCTTTGTAGTGATTTAGACCAGTTCCAGGGAATTTCATCCCTCACCAGTAACCTTGGATAATTGTAAATTGAATAACAAAACCATGTTACTTGTGGTGAATGATAGGCAACATAAAAAAAGTTTGAGTGCAAGAGATAGTTGAAAAGCTAAAGATCAGCAAATACATTTTCTGTTGGAGAAATATGCAAGGTTATTCTTTTATAATCAATAAACCTCTGTTGTACCTGTTTGTCTCCAGTTAAAACCCAAACCACCAATCCAGCAGCTTGAAGGGATGCAATACATTCAGGAACACCTTCCTGAAGACAATCCTCAATTCCTGTGGCTCCCAAAAGCTCCAGGTTTCGTTCAATATAGCTGGCTGAATCTTGAACCCGTTGTTCTCGATCATTAAGAGACATTTCTGCATCTGTATGCAAACTTAACCATTGTTCATATTCCTCTGGGGAGAGCACCTGTTATAGGAGGATATCACTATTACAATAAATCACACAGTTTATTGTGAAGACAATAACATCAAAGCTTTTAAAATACTCACAAAATTAAATCTATAAAAATAATCACTTAAAAGGTTCAGTTTGCATTACTCTATGTATGCCTGTTATTGATGAAAAAGTGATATACACCAAACATCATTCCATATATTTGAATGAAAGACTTTTTACGTAAGAAAAATATTCACCATACTATAAATATTTCATAACAGTAGTTATAAACGAATATATTAATTATTTGTGCTTTTATTCTCAGAGTTTTGAGGTTATATTTAAATAATTTTTTTTATCAGTTGTTCAATCTTTAATCACCATCCATGCTGCTATTCAACATTTTTACAGAACAAAAATTGCTTAGCAGTAAACAATTCGAAGTTCTAAATAAACTAAGCAATCTTCATTATCAAATCAAAACAGCTACTCATTATATGAAGAGAATAAACTAACTTTCTTCTTTTAAATTCTACAAAGGGTGTGCCTGCCCCCCCCCCAAACCATAACACCTATTTCCCAATTTTCATGTTTTTTACCTAATTTTTGGTTAATTTCATTTATCTGTATGCCAAAATGATCAAATTTGCCATTGTTGATTAATATTGTTCGTAATTCTGAAAAATATAACTTCCTACTGAGACACACACAACATATATGCATATATTTTTCAAACATGCAATCAAATTGATTAGTCACGAACTAATGAGCGACTTACTGTTTTCATTTTTTCTGAAATGCTTCAAAACTATGATACGTTGTGGACTACTTGTCCACTTGTGACTGAGTGTATTCCACTTTTTTATCATTGTTTCATGATTCCTTTGCAGTTCAAAAAAGTACACTATTTTGAGAAAGGAGACAGTAATGTTTTAATTCTGAATGTTAAAAACCTGTTGGATTGTGGGGGCTTTACCTCCTGTATTCTGCTTAAGACTTTTGGGTAGGCCCCAAACTCCTTGCCCTAAACTCTCTTTACCTCCCTCCCAGAAATTATTAAAATTCTCAAGATCTGTAGCAGCTTTACAATTATCTTATCATACCAATAATAATTTGGATATGTTTGATATCTGTAATAAATCATAAAAGCCTTAAAAAACTAACATTCAAGTTTGTTACTTCAACAAAGTATAAAACCCTCAAAACCTTTCCAATTTTATTAACACTCTTTGCTTTTTTATGAATAATGCATTCTTGTGTTAATTTTCATAATAATATCTAAACATTTATACTAATACTCACTGAAGATTTAGATACAAACAAATTTAAGGTTTATATAAAAAGAGCCACACATATTCATCAGTTTTTTTGTTGTTTTTTTATCACAGTTACATTTAGAAAAATGGTTAAAAACATGTTTAAAAAAAACGAGATTTGTGGTTAAAATTCCAACAAAATATTAACCAATTCCAAACCTCCAAACACAAATTGAATGAATGCATCTGAAAAAATAGTTGTATTCTTCTATCTGTTACTGTACCCAAAACAGCTGGCCAAATTCAAATTATTCATTTTCAGAAAGTGTTATTGATAAAGCCAAGATTTGGTTAATTTGGTATATATATGTAGCATTTCATTCATTTACCAGAAATCAAATTAATGTTAAGATGCATACTGAAAAAGTACTTCCTACAATATGTTAGAAAGCAATCAATAAAGAAAAACGATATCACACATTCTTGTATTTCTAAATAAATATTAATATGTCTGAAGTATTGTTTATCTGTTTTGGATATTCACTCACAAGAATTAAATGCATTAGATGTCTTTAATTTTGAACCAATAGACTAGAGGGAAGGTAGTTAGTCAACAGCACTCACCACAAACTTCTGAGCTACTCTCATCAACTAGCAGGATTTAACCATCATTCATATAATGCATCCATGGCCCCAAAGTGAAGATCATGATTTTTCAGTAATATGATACAAACTATGGACTCTCAAATTTATGGTCTGGCAAGCTGACCACTAGGCCATGCTCAGGTAGAGTTTCATACTATACATTAGAGTACTTAAATGAGGTAAGAATTCTTCAGGTATATTCACCCGGATAGTGAAATGTAATTGATACAGAGTACCTATCTTCAACTCCTAAGAGTTATTGAATCACAACTTGCAATGCTGAACAAACAACCCATGTACTTTGAAATTTCATTAACACTATAATCTAGAATAAACATCTATGAACAACTTTAAATTTCTTTGGACAACAAACACAAGGCTACCTTTTATATGAAAAGCAGGAAAAACAGTGCTGCTAGAAGATCTATTTTTTTATTTTCAGATTTGGTTATGCTATAGCTGAAAATGTTTTGCTATTTGTATTACTGAAAACAGATTTCCATATCCACTTTTTCAAATGCACTCATAAAACTTTGTTCCATTTCTGTTTCCATTTACTTCATATATCAATGATCTTCCTACCTTTTTGGCCATACAAAGAATTCGAAGCCCTTTTTTGCTGTAGTTGTTCACATGGTGATGTGTTTTCGTAATGATCTCTTTAATTTCTGAAAACCACATTTTAGTTATTTCATGTATATTTTACAAACTGTACAATTATAAAATACACAAGGTTTTTCTTATAACCAAGCTACTCGTCACACATTAGCTAGAGTATGTAAAACTACGATTATGAGAATACAAAAACAATGCTTGTGTTAGTAGATACAGAGAGTATAAGAACTAATAGTTAAACTATGTTTACAGAAAGTTCTAAAGGTTAATCATACTGTATACCAAGTCTTATACTAGAAATTATTTCCTCTGTCATCAATTGTGCTTAGCCTAGTAGCCATGATTATATACTATCGTCCAACACAAATCTTAGAACTCATATCTTAACAGAAATTTCCAGTATCTTCACTTTACATGGTCATCAGTTTCAATGACCATATTTAAATAAACCAAAGGCACAAAAGTTCACTAGAACTTCTTTGGAGGTTTTGACAGATATGTGGTTAAATGGATTATAAATCCAGCTTCTTTGGTCTCCTTTTTCATGAAAAATAGCCACTGTGGCTGGAAGCTTGTGAACTTTTTTGGCATGTGAGCCCTTGTTAACTTCAAATTCTTGTTTATTATATTGTTAACAAATAACAATCATCTCAATAAATATTATGGTTGAAGGGTTCCTTTCATCACCACAGTCTTCACTTGCAGATGAGGGTGTTGTTATAGATTAGACAGGAGTGTAATTTTGATGTATGGTACTGTCCTAAATACTCTGTTAGTTTGTTCTAGTACTTCCATGGAAAACATTCAACCTTCTTCAAAATGTTGTGTTCTTTAACCCTATTTCACTTAACAATCATGTTGTATGAACATCTTTTCCAAGAAACAAATGTGACATACAAAGACCTCCAACTATAAATCATTGCATTGTCAAATGGCTGGGTCTTCATCATGACCAGTGTGGTCAGGTCTCATACCTCAGGTGCATATTCAAGTCATTCTTATAAAATTAAATTAACCCTTTGTAATATCAAAAAAGTGATTTCTGAAATCCTGATAAAAACTAATTACATTTTAATAGTTTGAAAATTTAAAAATAAAACAAGAAGTTTAGATTGTCTTGTCAATAATAATCATCTATGATGTCTTATTCTTGGATTTTTTTAATTTTAAATTTCACAAACAGTTATAACTGAAATATTCATAAAGAGTACCTGGCTGGTTTACTGGAGCTAGAAGTGGTAGTACGGCTGAATCAGCACCTTTGCAGTAAAGGATTTTTTCTTTGGTAAATGGGTGTTCAAGAAGTACTGACATACGTTTTCGAGTAGCATCAAAAGGCAGCACGTGAAGAACTTTAAACTCAAGAAGACCTCCTGAGATAAAAAAGTAAGATATTGGTTCTATCTTCAGTTATATTCTAAATTGTAAACTACCTTTTCAAAACAACATCCTAAATGTCAGTCCAACATTTACTCTTCTAGACATTCTGTAAATAACTAAAGAAGTGTTCTGATAAAAAATTTATTTGGTTTTGTAAATATTTTAACAATTAAGACCAAGATAAGTATTAAATTTAAGAGATGTTATAATTATTCCAATGCTTTCCTTACAAATTCTGTCTTTGGTACTTTTAATTTTTCATATTGTCAACTCTGTGATAATGAAAGAAAATTCCATATATTCTCAATTAAGTACCAGAAAACAGACAAACATTTTGCTTTAACACCATTTCATGCTTTTAATTTTGAAAACTTTGATTACAAGGAATTATAAACCTTGAATGGTGTTCAAAATAATAATAACAAAATTATGTTTATCAATCATAGAAGTAATGGTGCAATTGTTACTTTTGACAGAAGAAAGATCATTAAGAAAATAGGTCATACACAAGAACAAAACTACATTTACTATGTTATAGAAAGATCACAAAACATAAAGACGTCATCGAATAAAGAGAAGGTTACAAAAGTCTTAACTGACACAGGAAAAGAATAAATGAATGATCAACAGTGTTAATGACAACCAGTTTCTACCCAGACTGCTTTATTGTTTTCTCTATATACATAAATTAATTCCACTAATTATCTACAAAACCAGGACTTAACAAATTTAGCTAAATTTCAAGCTGATCCTTATTTTAAAGTTTATACACCTTCAGAGACAACTTTAAAGGAATTGTTTAAAACTGCTGACAATGCAAGATATCTACAGTGTTCTGACAGTGAAGTTTGACCAGTTTGAATGTAAGTTCTTGGAAACATTAACTGTGTAAACACCTTTAGTGTTCAAAAAACACAGCATGAAGTGTGCTTATTCTGTATCAACCAATGAAGTTTTAAAACATAAATAAATCCTTTTTTTTTTGTGGGTATACACAAATAATTTCAAAAAATATTTCACCAAACAAGAGTTTGAAGATATTCTCTGGTAATTTGCACTTAGTACCAAGAGCACACTGGGATAGAGAACAAGCAGCCAAGAATACACTGGGATAGATAATCAGCCAAGAATACACTGAGATAGAGAACAATCAGCCAAGAATACACTGGGATAGAGAACAATCAGCCAAGAATACACTGGGGATAGAGAATAATCAGCCAAGAATACACTGAGATAGAGAACAATCAGCCAAGAATACACTGGGATAGAGAATAATCAGCCAAGAATACACTGGAATAGAGAACAATCAGCCAAGAATACACTGGGATAGAGAATAATCAGCCAAGAATACACTGAGATAGAGAACAATCAGCCAAGAATACACTGGGATAGAGAATAATCAGCCAAGAATGCACTGGGATAGAGAATAATCAGCCAAGAATACACTGAAATAGAGAACAATCAGCCAAGAATACACTGGGATAGAGAATAATCAGCCAAGAATACACTGGGATAGAGAATAATTATCCTAAAACACACTAGAATAGAGAATAATCACCCAAGAACACAGCAGAATAGAGGATAATCAACCAAGAACACACTGAAATAGAGAATAATCAGTCCTTGTGTTTTTTGTGTGAAAGAAAGTAGTGAAGTGTTAAACTATTATAAAAATAAAAAACTTGAAAATATTCCAGATTTTATGTTCAACAGCCACGAAAATCAAAACTGTTAAAGACAATGCAAGCCAATATCAAGTAGAGAAATATTTTCTGCGGTTTTCATAATGTAGTGTTTCTATGAGAAAACTAATTTGTAGAATTGATAACTGAATAATTCCTAATTTGTGTATCTGGAGGTCTATAAATGTCAGAACCAAATCTTCCTGCTTAAAACTGTACATAAAGAATCTGCTAATGCAAAATGATCAACAAAAAAGTGAGAGATCAAGCCATAACATAATAGTTTAAGTATGTGGTCTAAATGTCTTTCTTCAATCTAAATTTAATTATATCATTAGAAAGCTCTTAAGGTGCTCTATTTTTTACTATAGATATTTTTAATGACAATGTTTTTTGAAATTTTTATTTATCCCTTCTTTGGATTTATCAATTTAAATGTTAATCATAACATGAGAAAGCTCTTAAAATGTTCTATTTTTTATTTTAGATATCTTCAAGGATACATTTTTCATTAAACATCACCATGAAATAATTATTAACAGAAAAGAGAATGAAGAAGAACTTAAAACAGTTTATGATAATAACTACCACACCCTAAATGATACACTGATCTGTCAAGTGTAGGGTACATAACTGTGCAAAATACTGTGTAAATTGTGAAAGCAAAGCATGTTATATGTAGTACCAAACACATATATATGTACACTTACAATACAAAACAAGCCTTAATAAAAATAAAATGCTGCATAATCAAAATAAACAGAAAACAGGTTATAATGAGGGATATAAGATGTGTCCTGGTCTTTGGAGGTGACTGCAGAAGCAGGACCCACATAGTGGTAGGGATACACTGTCTATCAATCCTCGATTGGCAAATCCTCACATGTGAATAATAAAAGAGAAAAAATTATAATAATAATAATAAAACAAAATGACAGCAACATGTAGAGTCTCAAGCCCACAATGTTCCATGCCTTAAGGTCCTACCATTGGGGTGGTGAGTAAGAAAACCTGACCTGCTGAAGTTGGCATACCAGCATCCATTATGGTAATAAAAGCTCAATTTAATTAGGTAATATCACTAGCACAGCAGACAAATTAGATTAAAATAAAATACCTACTGAGTTATCTAAACTAGTAAAACACCCATCCTCCAACCATAAAGTCTACTGTAACTCCTAATTTTCAGATTGTCTTCTTTTACCTGCTTGGTAAAAAAAAAGAAAAAAAAGCTTTCATTCTAACAGGAGCACAGAGATTAAAAAATTTAAAATATGTAACAAGACAAAACATACCAGGCAAAGCAATAACAATACAATCAGGTGTTCTTTGTAGGAGTCGAAAATTGTAATGGAAAGCAGCATCTACAAGAGCAATTTCATCAGGGCTTTCTGCCTCATATATTGGACGGAACACAGATGATACTGGAGTCGATGTGGGTGTGGTGGTGGATCTGGAGCTTCCAGAAACTGAAAAATATTGTGGTTTCTGAAATGGAGTAAAATGTCCTGACTCTGGAGGTGTGCCTTCTACTGTATCAATCAAACGAGCATGTTGAGACTGTTGACTAAGACCGTCATCAGATGTATTCACTCCTACATTAATAGATAATGATGATCTTGACAAATGTGTTGTACTGAGACAGAGACCACTGGCAGTCATCTACACACAAAAAATCAAGTGGATAAATGTGTAAATCAAGCAGATAAATGTACACTTTTACCTAAACATATCTTTTCCTTCAAATAATATTGTCATACAAAATAAAATTGGTGGACTTTACTATTAACATTAGAACATTCCATTACTGAGCAACTGTAGATAAAAATGTATGGTAAGCATGGTTTAAAAAATGTGATAGCTGATAAATAAAAGAAAAACCTTTGTTCTTATCACTTAACCCTTTCGGCCCGGGTATCCTTTACTATGCATGACAGAAAATTTTAGTGTCTCACATTCAAACTTTTATTAAACTACTTTTTGTTTATGTATAGCATAAAAATGTAGTTAATAATCCATATTTTAAAAATATACAAGTTTTAACTTCCTAATTCTACAAGGCAATATTAAAAAAAATCCTGAATTTCCCCTAGTGTGACACTCATGACATTTTCTGTAGGCATCTTGTCTTCCATATTTTATCCACCACCCCTTGAAAAAGTACAAAATTAAATGTAAATTACTCTATAGAATCGTCACTGCTCAAATGAACTATAATTTTTATAGCCTTCAATTTTGTTTGGTTACAGAGCTATAATTAGAAAATCACACCCTTTCTCTTTCAGGCTTTGTTAGTAGTTCTCTTTTAAGTTGAATTATATAATACCTATAACCAACAGAAAGCCATGGTTTTCATCCATCAAATGATGTATTGTGTAACATTGTATTCTGAACAGATAATCATCAATTCCACTCAAGAGTACAAGCTTCGTTCCCATGGGAAAGTTAATGACTAGCTTCGATGAACTTGTAACGGCTCTTGTCACACACTTAAAAAGCCAGAAAAATTTTGAGAGTTAGGGAAAATTGTCTGCTTTTTGCATGTTATTAGTCTATGTTCTTTGGTGCATTATTTAATGCACTACTACCATTAGTATAAAATATGTAGGCTTAAGTATAATTGACAATCAGCAGCTAGAAAAAAGAAGATTGGGTAAATAATTTATTGCTGTCCAACATTCTAGGTATCAGGCACAAAGTAGATGTCTACAGATGAAGAGACAATTGCTGTATCCCTCTCAAACCTTTCCAGTCAGGGTGATAAAAATGAGAAGAAATGTTTCTGCTTCTTTTTAATATACTTAATTAAAAATTATAATCAATACTTTAACAATTTGTACACAATCTTTACAAAAATATATTTGTTTTTGAATTTTTATTTAGATTTTTTTATATTTTTGCTCAAGGTTTTAAAGTTTTTAATCTCAAAATCTGACAGAGCTGATCCAGCTAGTATATTAAGAGTTAACATATTTATTATAAAGATCAGAAAATGAAGAGGATAAAAACGTTTAATACCTGATCTTTGTGAGGGTGCTTTGACACCACAACTGTGTTACAAACAGCCATTAATAAAAAAAAATCTTTTATGCGCTGGCTTTCTGCACTTAGACTTATTTCCCTATACAAGTTTGGTTCCACAAATAGTTGTACTTCCAATTTGTTCAGTTCTTCTTGAAGCTGTGGATTGAGGTTGAAGGTCATATTACTCTTCAGGAAAGAAAAAAAAAGTGTTAGATACTTATAAGACATATTAACCCAGTTTATAAATGTATAGTTTATATATTTTCATAACCAACAATGAAATTTGCCCCTTGAAAAAGCTGGTCTGCAAATGAATAATTATGGCTTGGTTTACTAATCTGTTTAGTCTCATAAGCTGCACAAAACAACTTATGAAAAAAGCTGGGATATAAACAAACAAACACTCGTACATTTAACTAGAAAAAAATCCTATGACAATTACAGACAAACATCCCAGTAGTCCAAAGTAAATGATGAATATTATGTTTGGAAAAAAAATCTTAATTATTTTATATGTAAAAGCAATCCCTGGATCTGACAAAAAATACCTTAATTGATGATTTTTTTTTAGTAACAGAACCAAACTTCTAATTACCCTGGTATCTGGTATGGTTTGAAGATAAAAATATAACAATGACCAAATTTACAGTATTGTTTTAAGTGTACTTAACTACTACTAGAATGTTTTTCAACTGTAATTTTTATCAGTTAATTCTATGAGCATGAAAGGGGGTCAAAAGTGCACGTGCCACAACCTTGTACAGAGTGTCATTCAATATGGTAATGTGGATTTGATGTCTTTTCATTTCACCCTACATGCTGATTTCATGACAGTTCATGTTAGAGAAAATATCAATAAAATATATAGGTATAATGAAAAACTGTAAATATGCATTTAGGAAGTTCTAGAAGTTATGCAAACTACATGATGGGAAAAAGTAATATTATTCTTCATATGGACATTACTTTGCAAGATATATCCTGCTTTAAACAGTTTCACCTTTGCTCCTGAAACTTATGCAAGTTTATTTTGGCAACTTTATTTTAAAGTTTTTTTTTAGGTTTCCCTTTTGCTTTTGCTAATCAGTTTACCCTGCCATTTTTCACATACATTTAAGCCATTGACTGAAATTCATGATCTGTTCAAGTTTTCAAAATTGAAGATGCAGTGGTAATAAGCTCACCTTCTGGTTAAGAGCTGGTTTTCTTAACTTACTGGCAAGAGATTTTAGTGTTCGTTTGTTTGTTTGTTTTGTTGTTAAGTTCAAAGACACACAATGGGTTATCTATGTTGTGACAAAATGGGTATGAAAACCAGATTTACTTAAAGTATTACAAGCCCTCAAACTTTCCAATGAGCTACTGGGAGCTTCTAGCATTCTAAGATGGAATTCTTCCCAGGAATGGAGAAAACTGGAGATAAGCATAAATCACATTCATGTAGACAGTAGTTGGTAATACTAACCTAACTGGTGTTGCAAGTTTTAGAATTACAGCTTTTTTTTTATTTGACTGCAGAATCTTGAACATCAGAACATGAGCACACTACCATTATGTCTAAAATTGTGAAAACGTAAAGAAAAGAACAGAACATGAACACTGATAGTTGAATATGAGGTGGACTAAAATACTGAAATTATTTGACCTCTACAACCTCCTCATCAAAAGTTCTACTTTAAATAAAGATTCAGTTCCTCTATTTCCTAAATTCTTTAACCCAACTATGATTTAACTTGGGCATCATTTACTGCACATGTCACAAGGTGTTAGTCGCTTACATTCAAAATTTTATTAAACTACTTTTTATGTTATACAATTAGTACAGAATTAAATCGTAGATAACAATCCATATTTTAATAGTATACAAGTTTTAAGTTTTTAATTTTACAAGGCAATATTTAAAAAAATCTGAATTTCTCCTTGTGTGAGAAAGGTAACATTTTCTCTAAACATCCCATCTTCTCTATTTTATTCACCACCCCTCCAATAAGTATGAAATTTAACATAAATTACTCGCTATAAAATCGTCATTGCTCAGACAAACCATAATTTTTATAGCCTTCAATTTTGTTTGGTTACAGAGCTATCAAATAAAAAATCAGACCCCACCTGTCACATCCTCTCTTTCAGGATTTATTAATAGTTCTCTCTTACATTTAATTATATATTTTCTATAACCAATAGAAAGTCAAGGTTTTCATTTATCAAATAACGAATCTTATAATTGTCAATTTTACTCACAGGTTTCGTTCCCATGAGAAAGGTAACGACGAGTTTGGATGAGTTTGTAATGGCTTTTGTCACATTGTTAGAAAGCCAAACAAATTTTAATTGTTAGAGGAAGTTGTCTGCTTTTTAATTTTATTATTCTCTGTTCTTTGGTGCATTATGTAATTAAATAAAAATTATTTAATGCATTACTACAATTAGTATAAAAAAGTAGGGTTAAATATCATCAATAGTTGACATAAAAAAAAAAGAATTCTCAGGTAATTACTTGTTTTTCATGTATATTCTTTATTATTATAAAAGTAACTAAAATGTAAAAATAGGGATCTATTTTGGTTAGTTAAGGTTAGACTAGGGGAAATAAATAATAATATAATAAAAATGTTTCAAGAGGCATGCATGTGAGCAGCTCTTGGGTAACGTAATTCAATAGCGTAACATGACCACGTTCCTTAAGTGATTTACAACTTATAATGGGGAGAATAGTTAGACACAGTTCAAAGGGCAATAAAACAATAAAATTTAAGTATAAATTGATATATATTGTTATGAGTTTAAAGCTACTTAGGATAAACGAATGTAGTTTCATGTTACATTTGAAAAATTAAGTTTAAATTGTATTTAGGTCTTATTCTTATATTTTACTTAATTATATATTTGTTGTGTTTTAAAATGCGTAATTGAAAGGTTTAAACTTTTTTTAAATATACAGCATACTTTGCATCAGTTTTCAAGGCTTACAATATTATGTGGTGCATGAGAATTTTGCCAAAGGGCTCTGCTTGTCTGCCAGAGATACTGTAATATGCCTGGATGGCACCGTTGACTTGTGGCAAGATGAATAATAAGTGGTAAAGGACAAGAAAGGAAAATAAAACATTAAAAATTAACTGTATGTGAAAAGGAAAAGATCTAAAATTACAAATTTAGCAAAAGGAAATTCTTTAAAGATATTCTGCAAAAAATTAAAAGGTATGTATTTTTTTTCCTAAATTTAACTATTTCTTTGCATCGTACGTTGATGATAATAGTTAGAGTTAGTGATATGGTGGAGAAAATGAAAAATAAAATATAAACATATACCTTAAAAATATTTTGATATTCATTTAGAAGGTTCCAGAGGTTATGCAAATGAAATAGGAAAACTATAAAATGAAGAAAGGTATTCTAATACCTAAAAAAGAAAATCGCCTTCCACTCAAAGTATTTTAACAGTTTGAATGCAAATAACAACTATAGATAATTAGAAAGACGTAATTATAATAATGTCATTCTTTGAGTACAATTTTAACAAAATCTTAAGAGGTTTTGTGAGAAGCGCTCAGTTACGTTATGTTTTTTGCATAAATGTCCTACCCCATTCATAGTGATGCAAGCTGCATCAGCTCATGCTGGAAGGATTAAACCACTTTAATATCAATGTATGTCAATAAAATGGGCATCAAAATGTGGTTTATAATTCAAGTTTTAATATAATTTATATCTTAATTTCTTAATTTAAAATAAAATATTTAAAAAAATTCTAAATATCCTTTAACTCTGTAACAATGACATGCTGCAAAGTGCAGCATTTTACATAACTCTCATTATATTTCATTCCTAGTGGATAAAATTGTTTAAAATTTAACAAGAACTTTCATAAAAAATATTTAGTTTGAGAAAAATGTATTTAACTTTTTTATTTTAGTTATTTCCACTCAGACTCTGAATTGTTCATCTGAAAGGTGATTTTGAGTATAAAAATACTATTCATTATTTTAAAGTTTTCACATTTCACTTGCATAATCTCTAGAAATTCCTAAATGATTATAAAAAATTTTTTCAGGTAAATGTTTATATTTTATTTTCCGTTTTCTCTACCACATCAGTAACTCTAGCTATAATCATCAATGTAAAGTGCAATGAAATGCTTAATATTTAGAAATACAAATATGTATATACTTTTTAACTCTTCATTGAAAAATAATCTTAAAATACTGTTGTGTCAGCGAGGTCACGTGACTCGTTCTCTCGAACCTTCGGGAATTGTCGGGAGATTACTAGATATAGGGTAGTCTGGTATATATAAGAGGGTGACAACGTGACGGGACAAGAATGTGTGTGTAGGTAGTGAGTAATTGATTTGCAGTCAGAGAGTATTGTTGAAGTTGTTATAGCATTTGTTTTAGCGCGATTGTGGAAATTAAATGTATCATAAAGTTATATTTGGAAAGAATAAACCAGTTTTATTAAGTAAGGACTTGTGTCGCTAAAGTTTCGTTGGAACGAATTTACGGAAAATCAATTAACAAATGGAGACGTAACAATACCTTCTTTGGGTTATTTGCATAATTTCACATCTTTACCTTTTCACTTATAGTTTATTTTTAATGTTTTACTTTCCTTTCAAATTCTTTGTGTTTCATTATTTATGTCGACACACATCAACAGGTTCTGGCAGGTGATATAATGTTTAACATTGGCAGAGATGGTTTTAGCTCTGGCAAAATGTTGATTGCTGTTGCTCAATTTATGAAAGCTGGTTGGGTAAAGCATAGAACAAATTCAAGAAATCATTATCTTTTCAAATATGAATTTTAAAACACAAATAATACATAATTAACTAAAATGTAAAAGTAAAACCAAAATGCAATATAAATGTCTATCAGACTGATATGTATAAGGTAACAAAAAAATAGCCAAGTGCTAGGGACCATACTTTCAACAATATACTAAGCTTTGTTTTGCCTGTTTTCTAAACTGATATATATGTCTACATTTACTGTTAATTTAGTAACATTACAATGGAAAAACTGCTCTTTCTATTGGTTATAAGCGTGCCATTCAACTTAAAACTGTCATTTAGCAACACAGCTTCTACTGTACAAGTGGGTGTGGCTGTGGCTATTCTTGAATAGAGAAAATTTTACAACTGTTTCTTCTATGGACAATGTCTTTGAATGTACTCAAATTACTGG